GGGGGCTCCCTGGGCACCCCCAAACGTGGGGGGAGTGGCCAAAACGGGCGAGCTCCAGGGGAGCTTGGGAATGGACCGTTTTCCCGTTATCCCTGAGGTATTTAACGCGCTGAGGAGCAGCACGAGCCTGAAGGGCGTTTGGGAAGCGTGGAAACCCCAATAATGGACTTTTGTTGTTGTTTCCTTTGCGGTGGCAGTAAGGGCGCACGGCCCGGGGCCTGCGGGTGCGCCCTTCGCTTGAATCAGGAAAGAGCAGCACCACAACGAATTGATCAGACACCAGCCCTTGCCTTTGCCGAGCCGTTGCCCGCCAAGACAGGGGAAAGGGATCTTTGTCTAGGGGAACAGTTTTCCCTTTATCCCCGACCTGTTGTCCTCCCTTTCTGCTCAGAAGCTGTTCCCCTTCCGGAGCGACCCCAAACGCTGCTGCTGCTGCAGTCCCTGGGAAGCTTCCCAGTTGTAATGCCCACCGAAATGTGTAGCTTCCCGAGTTACACGATAGGACAGACAAGTAATTAATAGATGTCCCCACGCTGCAAGCAGAAGGGGTGACGATGCCATATGTGAACGTGTTCGGGATTCGGGGTCCCAACTCTTGTGGCTGGGGATGTATGGCATAGTCTGCAGGCAGGGCTGCCGGAGCTGGGGGGGCGCGAGGGTGAGCTGGGTGCTGCCACCGCCCCCTCAACCAAGTCACCTTAAGGCTGTGCCTGCCTTAGCAAGTAGTTAAGGAGAGATTTCTAGGACAAACCGCTCGGTGCCGAGATGTTGATGTCCGCCCCGTATGCTTTTCAGGTGGTTTGTCCGGCAGAGCAAACGTCCGATAGCCGTTGACGCGCGTCGGGCGCGCCGCTGGAGCGCGCCTTCTGGTTTGGTTTCGTCTGGAAGGGAGCCGGTGTGTGCGCGCCGAGGCCTCTCGGCCCTGGGAACCACAGCACAGTAAGTGGGGGCGTTCGAAAGAGCCGCTTCAAAAGCGCGCTCCTGATCCAAGCTCAGACGTAGCATGGGCATGCCCTCGCGCGCGCCTGTGGCTACCGACCGGTCATAGACTCAGGTTCTCATGTGTAATGTAACTTCTTTGCTGTTACCCGTTCTGCCGTGCCTGCTGCCTGCACTAGTACATCTGGGAGCAATGAGATTTTTCATCAGGTGACTCTAGTAAAAACTCATTTACCAGGCACGGCAGAGAATGGTGGTTGGTGATTC